ATAATTAGTGTATTGTGCTTCTTAAAGATATTTCGTTATCTTGATACCATTGTTATAAAGCGCAATAAGATCCTTGACTTTGTGGGTTTGCATGGTAAAAATAAATATAATTATTTTATTTTGTTTTGTTTTGTTGACACGTTCATTTCTATGTCTCGGCTTTGGCGAAGCTTTCGACCCAAGTCCATTGGTGCTATAATAATTTAATACACTGGTGAAGATCCATGCATGCTTACAGATCGAAACCTAGTACCAAACTATGAAATATATTTCCGGCATGCAATCAAACAAGCCTTTCGCGGCGAAATTGAAACTTATCCACTGAGTATACTAAATGAAGTAATCTAGTTTAGTGTCTCCTTGCACTGCATGGATCTCGACGAAGAACAGTCAGTTAATCACTGACTAATACAGGTGGAATTCCAAAACCAAATGAATGAAATGATATCACGAATGTTGACAATGAAGCTGCAATTAAGGAGTAAGGACAAATACATGCAAGATCAAAATATTAAAGCATGCACAGAGATGGCGTCTTTGCAATTTGTAGCTCCGTTAATAATTTTCTTGTTGGGTTGTTTACTGCAACAAAAACTTAGCAATGACGAAGTAAATAGCCACTCTTATATCAAGGGAATCTATGGCTTTCAATTTGGCTTTCGTCTGGCCCAAGAGAGAAGATTATCTGGTCATGAAGCGCTGAACAAATTTTGTCGAACGACTATAGTTGGTAAAAATAAATATCATTTTCTTTACCTACTCTTGTTACTTGGAGGGGATATTGAGCAGAACCCTGGTGAAGACTGCAAACGGCCGTGTGGAATATGTTCAGACCCTATAATGGTGGACCAGTTGGGGATGAATTGTGATGAATGTGATACTTGGATTCATTTGGCCTGCTGTGAGTTTGATGACGATACGCATGATATATTATCCGGCTCATCGCTTACATGGCTGTGTCCTGCTTGTGGTTTTTCGAACTTTTCAAAATCGCTTTTAAATGAATCAATTGAATCTCTAGCTTCTCCCAATGCATTTGCTCCTCTTGAAGAAACCTCAGTGGAACCCCAAGATATCCCTGAGACCAAAGCGAAATTTCAAAAGCACCTTAAAAAGCCTCGAGCGAACAAATGCAAATTAACTTGTTTACTAGTGAATTGTCAAAGCGTAAGGAATAAAGTTGCTGAATTTGAGGCCATTATTGATAAACACGAACCAGATATAATTATTGGTAATGAATCTTGGCTTCACTCCGGAATAGCTAGCAATGAAATATTCCCAGATAATTATAATATATTTAGGAAAGATAGAACTACCGACCGCCACGGGGGCGTTTTTCAGGCCGTAAAGAAAGATATCTTAGTTACTGATCGCTCGGAGTTTGATACAGATTGTGAAATCGTATGGACACAATGTCAAATTAAAAGCCGGAAATCAAAGTCTATTTTCTTTGCTTCATATTATCGGCCGAATATGACAGATATGGTTAGCCTTGATGAACTGAATAATTCGCTTTTCAAACTATCCGATAAACTGAACAATCACCATGTGATATTGGCTGGAGATTTCAATGCACCTAATATCGATTGGAAAGATTATGCTCCAGTAAAGGCTTCTGTTCATTCTGATAGATTGCTCGAAATTATAAACGAACATGGACTTAACCAAATGGTTAAAGAGCCAACAAGGAGTCAGGGAGAAACACACAATATACTAGACATGATCTTTACGAATAACGAAAACATTATCAACAACGTCAAAGTACTCCCGGGAATTAGCGACCATGATATTGTTTATTTCCAGGTTAATTTAAACTGTAAAAAGAAAAGGCATGTGAAGCGAAAAATATTCATCCGGAAGCGGGCAGACAAAGAGCTAATACAGCAAAAGCTACGTGAGTTGGCTAATAACTTTGAGTGTTCAGTGAAGCAGGAGTCCCTTGATACTAAGTGGGATGCGTTTCAACAAGGTATTCAAAACATAATGAATTCTTGCATACCATGCAAATACACATCATCTCGTTATAATCTGCCCTGGTTTAATCGTTCACTTAGGAGACAAACCCGAATCAAACAAAAGTTATATAAC